GATATACAACTTTTCATCCAAGAGAGACCTAAACATAATAGTGGTACAAGTGCCACACTGCTTTGACAGCTACTTCACTCCTAACAAATATACTCCCATAATGCCAAGAGGGTGATTTCAGTCTTGTATCTTTAATGAGCTTTCATATATAGATTAACATTTTCCAGGCTTGGTTTTCTCCCAGGTATGAGTTCTTATAAAACAAACAGCAGTGCTCATTTTTGTTGGAAGACTAGAAAATGTTATTTTAATTTCCTGAGCTTTGTGTATCTTTTGGCCAAAGTTCCATACATCAGAAAGCAATGCTTTGTCTGAGAGCCTGTAGTAAGAAGTTTTTATGAAGAGTCTAAAACAGTTGTGAGCTTCTAAAAATGGCATTTCATGCAAGCCTCTCTTACCTTGTGAGTACCTGCATTTCCAATTGTGGGTAGCTGTTCTGGACAGCTTTGGCATGGTGTAATTATGTATTTTCCTTTCTTCAGGTTTTGTAAGTTACGACAATCCTGTCTCTGCACAGGCTGCCATTCAGTCAATGAACGGCTTTCAGATTGGCATGAAGCGTCTGAAAGTACAGCTCAAGCGCTCTAAGAATGACAGCAAGCCATACTGAGCACCCCTCCCCTCCGGGACTGGAGTGAGAAGGATCTTCTGGTAAGTTGGAGAGGAGCGCACTTAGTGATTCGAAGCCCTAAGGCTGTGTTTTTACAGTCCTGGAAGCTGATCCATGCCTTCTATCTGGCACATCTTCCCCTGAAGATTCGGCTGCAGCCTCTGCTGAGAATCCCACTTCGGATGGAGGACAAGTTTGTGCTTTTGTTTCCAGTGTTTTACTTTGGAGTTTAGGTGCCATATCGCTGAGGTTTTGTTTTTTTTTTTTTCCCTTATTTGAAGTTTGCTGTGTTTGTAACCAGTGTGTGTTGAGAAGGACCAATGCCAGCTCCTTGGGGGTGGGGAGGGAAGGTTAAAGGGAGCAGCAGAAACTGACACCGCACTGCCTTGGGGTGGAGAGGAGAGGAGGAAGCAGAACTGACACCACACCACCATGGGGGAGAGGAGAAGGGAAAGCAGAAATAACGCAGAACAGCTGATGAAAACAAAGATGGGGAGGGAGAACAGTCCATCCAAGTTTGGGTGAGCAAAGAACTGACTCCATGTAGTCTTTGTCATGCCCCATCCACTCTTTGAAATTCCCTTAACTGTATGCCATGGTGGGGATTTAGTAAATCATCTCTAAAGCAGGAGACAGGCTAGAAGGGTGAACACATTAACAAGCCAAAGGAAAACTGCAGTGATTTTTTTTGCTATATATAAAGTAGTGTTTATATAGCACTGTGAATGTACACAGCACTTTATAAAATTATTAGATAATGTCTCTGCCCAGAAAATTTCACTGTCCATTTACAGTTGAGTATTAATGAGATGCAGTGAATTTCTCCATATTTAAGAAAACTTATCCTATGTACTTTATCTAGGTTTTGTAGAAAGGTATAGAGAGAGACAGCTTAGTCTGTATGAATACATCTAGGACTGGAAACAAGAAACTTCTGATCCCTGGTAACCTGCAGAATTTTTGACAATTTTTCTTCTTAACAGTTCATCACATTCCCCATTTCTGTGGAATAATGTCCTTTTTACAGAGTATTACTTTGAATTCATTCTGATAAGCATAATGTAAGTGCTGTTTGTTTCTCTATTAAAATGACTGTTAACCTGAGGTACAAAGCCCAGAGTTACCCTAACATAGCTCTTGAGGCTCCTGTTTCATACATGTTCTCATAGGATTTGATTTCTCAGTCTTAACTCTGTTGCAAAGAAAACTTCCTGGTTTTTTGTTTTGTTTTGTTTTTTTAAAAAAAAACATTTGTGCAGTGATTTGGTCTAGTAATTAGGGATTTCTTTATACTGCAGTTTTCCTTTAAGGTGGTGTGTACCAGTGCAAAATAGGCTAACACAGGAGCTGTGAAACCAAAGCAGAGCATTGAGCCATTCAGTCTTACTCTGCCTTTTGGTACTAGCTGTTATCTTCTATATTGGAGCAAAATTCAACACACCCCTTCAATGAACACACACTTTTTCTGCACACTTGTGAAATTGCTAATGCGTTGCTAAGGGCCTTTGTTATGCACTGGTTTTAGGGGGCTCAAAGGATTTTTGACACTCTGGCCTGAGTTGTTTTAAGAAATCAGAGTGGAGTCCCATTTTATAACCACCAAAATCCACCTCTGTCACAAGAGGAAGTTTACAATTTTTGTGTGTCTTTAACAGAAGTTCCATTTACCTCATATTTTTCCTTTTCCTTGTTTTCTTTGTATTCCTGGTTCGTGATGCTGTTTCCCAGGGCACCAGCTAACACTGCAATCTGGGAGCCAGCTGCTAAATCATGAGTGTGTGGGTCAGACATAGGGTTGGGACTTTCTGTTCTGCTCCAGCAGGAGGAGCACTAAACCCATCAAACCTGAGATCACGTTCAGAATCCGCACCCATGTGCGGTGGTCTGTTGGGAACGTCGGGCATTCCCAGGGACTGGGTCCCCTGGGATCTCAAACCTCAGAAGTACAAGACCCGTAGCATCCAAGAAGAGCCCTTTCCATTCTTAAATTGCAAATCAAACAGTTAGTTGATGCCGGTCTGTCTATATTGATGGCAGACAGGTAAATCTATCAGTATTATTCAAATCATTTTATGATGGCAAAGGTTCAAAGGCCAGACTGCCAAATTTCCCAGTTATGCTGGCATGTGGTAGCCTTCTATGTTAATTATTTGAATCTCTCTAGAAACGTAAACATACACTTAAGTGAACCATGTACACTTGAATTCTGCACGGTGGGAAAGATGTGTCCTGGTTTTCTGAGAAAAGAGTGTTGGAGTGTGAAGGCCTCCAGGGTGATAATGGGATTTTCTTTTTTTTTAATAAATAATATACTTTTCAAAAAAAGAAAAAAAAAAAAGAAAAAAAAAACATAGTTGGGAGCAACTGCTCCAAGTGCAACCTGCTGTAATCAAGAATGTTGTTTCTATTTTTATAGAAGTTTTATACCGCTCCAGGGTGGAGAATATTTATTACCTAAATTATTTCACTGGAAAAAAAGGCCAGGGTTTTGTAGAATCCTGAATGTGATTGTTTTACACACATAATGATGTGCATGATTGAAACTACTGATTTTCAGTGGCCTGTTTGCAGCCCAGCAACTGCTAAATGGGGAAGATGAACGCTGTGAACCAGTGGAGGAGAGTACTGTGCTCTGGGGTCTCTACAGTCACTCTTACCTTCTTTGCACCCTACCCCACTGTACTATCTGAGACCTTTGTCGTGTTTTTCTTTTAACCTGATGCTCTGGCCTCTTTACTAGTCATTTCAGTTGCCCAAAATTAGATATTTTAGCTTCTGCATCCTATAGTGTGTCCTCAATACTGTAAGTTATGGATCAAGCTTGGCATTGTTGCAAATAGGTGCAACTCCTATTGACTTAAGGAGATTCACCAGTTTACACTGTGGCTTAGTTTGATCAGTGACTCCTCCCGGACATAATCACCTTAAGACTCCTAACTTGGGCTAGCTCTTGTGCCTTACTGGCATAACTATAAGTATTGCCAAAAAGAAAAAAAAAAATCTATGCAGGTTAAATTTTAAAAGATGTGATCCTCAGATGGTTTGAATCAATGCAGTTCTGCTCTTTTCAGTAGAGCTGCATCAATTTTCACCAGCTGAAGATGTTGCCCTTTTTGTGTATTTGTTTCAGATTTCCCTTTCTTGGTGTATCAATGTATATGTTGCCAAAGTTAATAAATGTATCAAGTTTGTGACTTGGGCAGATTTTTTTTCTGATAACAGAACTGATCAGGTAAAGTCAACATTTCTGTGTCTGTTTGGTGGCTGCTGGTGACTCTGGAGATTTAGGCTCTTCTTGCCTTCCAGTCTTAAGCCAGTTTTCTTCCTCACTCATTGGCAGGAAAGTCTGGGAATTGGGGGACTTGGAGCTTTTAAATTTTATTTTATTTTTAATTCCTATCATGTTCTCATTCACGTGCAAATCAAATCAGTGTCAAATACTTTATTTCCTGGATAGTAGGATAAGAGTTGGGTGAGTTCAAATAAACTGCAGAAGGATTGGCTTAAGTGGCCACATGGACAAAGTATTCTGTATGCTCATAAACCAAAGAATCTGAATTTTCTACAACAAAAGCTAGTAGGACTTCTGATGAAATGGAATTCCATATTACATGTGCCACCAGGAGGTACTTACATGTTTTTAGAAACAAGATGGAAATGGTCTATTTCATAGATTTTTTTTTTTTTTCTCAGAAGATATTTTACTAGATATGCTGTAATAAGATGAAAGTATTATGAACAATTGAAGTCTTAGTCTGATGCTACTTGGTATCAAGTACTATAGTAAACAAAATCATAGATTCTTCAGTTCCCTAGATAATCAACAGTCCAAAATAGGGTATTTCTTTGTAGTTTAGTTTTTTCTTCCAGTAGTACAAAGCTTGCATTATTAGAAAATGCCTTTGATATATAGTGATTAAATTTTAATCCTAAGCAGAATGAGGACTGGACTTCTTCAAAAGCATCTGAGACAATGATGGTGAATATATTTTAATGGTGAGGCAGTTTACTAGCTGTGGGTGCTACTACCTGGAAAATAGGTGCCTCAAAATTTCTCACTGGCAAATACATCTATAAGGAAAAAGCTTTTCATCTGAATCCTGAAAGTCACATGGCATGGTAGATTCTGCTTGTATGATAGAATTAATTAAGTGTTTCTTCTTGTTAATGGTTGTGAGTTAGGGAAGAACAGCAAGCAGAATTAAATTGTTCCTATTTCATTTGGAAATATCTAAAAGCAACTTGGATAAAGCAAACTGCAAATGAAGGGTGCAACTATGAACACGTAAAATGCTTTGAGAACTTCTTGCAAACATTTAAACATAAGGATGTTGTACATCCCTGAGCATACCTACCACAAAACATAAAACACAGAAGGCAGAATTATCACAGTTGTGAGAATAAAATAAGGACAAACTGGAATAACTTTCCCGAAGTCATTAAGTGCCTATCCAGCATCTCATGGCTCTGCTCTTGTAGGCCAGTCCTTCCTCAGGGCTTTAATCCCTCAAAATTGCTGAGTGAAATATTTGAAAAATCTCTATCAAAAAAACCGCAAACAAATCACACAAAGAATTTCTATGGTGCATGCTTAGATGTCACTTGATTTCATGCCTCTTGTTGTTTCTCATGTCTCAGTTCATGATCAATTTGCCTTTCTGGTTTAGGACTGAAACCTTACAGCTATCTGCAAACTATCTAGAGTATTTCTAGAACTATAAAAATAACTGCAAGAGTTGCATTATACTCGGTTTGCTGGAGTTGGTTTAAACTCCATACTAAGTCCTTTACCCTGAATTACAAACTATGAAGAGCAAATTAATGTCAGCAGTTCTAGTAAGTGCAGTGTTGCAGGTTTAGTGGACAACATGCTTCTCATTGCTTTGGAACTAGAATGCAACACTTGCTATTCTCAAATACAAATGCTGTAAGATAACATGCAAGTCTCTAACCAGCAGCTTTGAGATGTGCTGAAGAATAAGGCCACAAACAGGAGATAAAGGGGAGTCGGGGCAGGGGTGGGAGAGGGAGGAACAAAAAAGAAAAAACTTGCTTCCTCTTTCCCCTGCCTCCCACATTCTTCCCAAAATGTTCCTTGTCTCTCGCATCTCACAAGCTGAGGGGAGGAAACAAAGGTATTTATATCACTTAATATAAGAATTATTTTGTTTATAAACTCTTCAGGAAACACATTTTTTTCTACTCACCAAACTGGCAACAGTGACTGTAGAGCTTCTCAGAGCCCAGAATCCCCTCCTCATGAAGTCAGGGAGCTGGGGGTTGTTTATATAAAAGGTTGAGAAAGGAAAATCCCTGTGCAGGTCTAATGGTATGAAAAGTGCTCAGCTAGGACAAGTCTTAACTTGCAGTCAAGTCTTAAGGAATTCTTCTCTAATGTGTGGAGTTTTTGGTTCCACTTGCTTGTCTTGTATAATTTTCGCCCCCCTCCCCCCTTCCCCCCCCCCCCACTGTTCCAAATCACCCACACCCAGTTTCATGGGCTCCTAGGGAATGAGAAGGGACTATAGCTGAAGGAAAGAACATGGATTTCCTGGGCTACCACTGCCTAAGAACTTCCCATGTTAGGATGCAAGAAAAGTCTCAGCCGTCAAACCACCTGTGAATCCCTTGTGTCCTCTGTCTTGTCTCTCATGGTCTTAATCTCTGTGGGCAAATGTTAGCCCTGGAGCCATATTTTTTGGAGTCGGTCTCCTGGGGAGGGAGCTTGCTCTGTTCTTCTCCTAAACAGAGCTAGTGGAGACACTGGGCACAGGGCAAGGTGAATGCATGCTAATCAATGTGTCACAAGGCTGTGGAGTGCTCCACAGACTGGGTGTTGAGAGGGAAATCCAGGCCTCTGCTTCCATTTGGTTTCTGGCAGTTTGATGTTTACTTGGTGTCCTTCATGTACTTCGACTTTTACTTGTCCATCGTTGGCATGTGCTGCCCTTCCCTGTCAACTCCCTTCCCCAGGAGATCTCATTGTACAGTGCCCATTCTTGTTCTCTCTCTCCGTGTTTGGATGTACTGCTCTGTGTAACTCAGTGGGTCTCCCTCTTTCTGGTTTGTTTTTTTTCTAGATTCCTGCCGTTTGTTCATCGTTGTGCCTAAAGCATGTCGATGTGGCGTTCAAGTACATCGTCCAAATCCTTGTCTCTTCAGCTTCTCTGATGCTTGAACTCTCACCTTTGACCTTGTGTTGACCTTTGATGCTGATGTGTATTTTTATTACGTTTGTTTCTTTCTTTTTTTTTTGTTTTGGTTTTTTTTTTTGTGCTGCCAAATTGGTTTTGCTAGAAAGACTGCTGAAGGGGAATATTTAAACTTGCATTTGAATATAAAAGAATTTCTATTTTTCTAGACCTTCGTAAGATAACCACTTGATTTTGTGAATCTGATTCTTTGTAATTGTCTTCAGAGCAGCCTTGCTAGCATACCTTGTGGAGTATTTGTATTTCTGTGAACATACAGCCAATCACTTTCTAGGCTTAGTTTTTTCTGTGTGCTTAGTTTTAAAAACACAGTTTCGAAGAAAAAGTCAATTATATGGTGTGACTCAATCTTTCAGGAGACTTCCTAGTCACATTTTGCTGATCTGGTTTCTGTGCTTGAGGAGACAGCATGTGTTTTTATGAGTTCAAACTTGTGACTTGAGTGGCATCAGCAGAAAAACACTTGAACTACATTTTCTTCTGATTGTAGCTACCTTTTTGCCCTGGCATTTACTGATTTTTTTTTTTTATTATTATTATTATTATTATTATTTTTATTTTTCCCCTGCTTCCCTGTGTGATTATCAGTCTGCAGTGAAAATTTGATCAAAGTTGATGTTGTATTTTGTTAAGCCCCAGCATGCTTGGTTTTTTTGTAACTACAATCTCCTCAGCAAAATGTGATGTTTTTGTTTCAATCTTTCAAACTAAGATAGTGCCCAGAAATGTTTTGCATGTTCCCTGCTGTTTTCTTCACACCCTCGTATATATCACCTTCACCTCTCTGTTTTCTATAGTTTGTGCAAAAACTGAGCAATTTAATGGGTTTCAAAGGTATCCTTTAAATTGGTGGTTTTGGTATGACAAATATCTGATCAGAAGCCACCTGAGGGCATCTACCTGTGCACTTAGACTGTCTGCCTGACAGAGCACCTGGACCTTGTTCCATCTCCAGTGCTGTCTGAGGCTCCCAGGGGGCTTGGTTGCACTGTTCCTGTAGTGGAAGTTTTGGTGGAACGGGATAGCTGGGGAGCAGGAAGGTGGGGGAACTTCACAGTATTTCTGTTTCCAAGGTTATCTGAAGCTAGGGCTCCTTTGAAACACTCTTTATGAGCATTGTGTGTAATTTAGGGCACATTTTTGTGAAGTCCAGCCCTAGTTTAATACCATCAGCTAGACCTTGGTGGCAGGATCCTGGAAGGATATAGGTTAGCTCTTGAAATAAAGTATTTGAAATATCCCAGAGAAAGCATTTGTAAACCTGGTCCTACAACTGCTGGCTCTTTTCCCAAGTGACAAGCACAATACAACAGCCTGTGAAGCTGTTACCTGAACAGGGTACCATCCCCAGCTCTCTTCCCAAGGGCCTTAGCTGGGGAATCTCTACGGAGATTTTTTAGTTTTTGTTTAGTTTTTAATTGGGTAATGAGCTAAGCAGTTTTTCTGGCTTGCAGGATGAACTAGAACAGGTTACTGCTTTCTGGGCAGCAGGCTTCCCCTTACCCTACATACCGTCTGCACAGGTAGAAACTGGGATGTAGCTTCTAGATGAAGGCACCTGAAGAGTGTGTGCTGTGATGAAGTTTCAGTCAGAAGGAGAAGCAAGCTAGTGTAGGTATCTTAACAGTAGAAAATAATGTGAAATGAAATCCCAGGAGAAAGGGTTTTGCTGAGAAAACAAATCGTGTTTGATTGGTATAATGCAAAGATGCGATAGGATTTTTTTTTCTATCCTACTCCTGAGTTGGCTGAGGATACTATATTCTCAATAGATATTGGCTAGACTTG